AACGGCAAAAAAAAAAAATAAAAAATAAAAAAAAATGGGTGACGGTTTTTTCTATAATTTAATTAATGGGGGGGTCGTATCAACAGACAATCTCGAACCCAAATAAAGCAGCCGGAGGTTTCCTAAAAAATGGGACCTAGTTCTAATAAACATCTTTTCATAAGTTTTTAGGCTTTGTTGTATATTTTTAATTTTCAAGGAGGTTTGGTTAAAAATGACAAAAAGTATATTAAAATTTTAGGAGAAACTTATAACTCAAAGAGACAATCATTTTCAATTTTCTTGAGGATTTTTAGTAAGTTAAAACTCAGTGGGCACCGGACCTAAAAAAGACGTCTTTTGAACGTTCAAAAATTGTCCAAAACGTTTAAAAGACGTCATTTTTACGTCCGTGCCCACTGGGAAGGAGGTTTTAATTATTTAAGATTTTTAATGAAAAGCAAAGACGATTTTTTGCTTCATTAATCAATTTTGTTATGCTCACTTTGTTTATCTGTTTTTTTATGCTTATTTTATTATGCTCATTTTTTTTTTTTTCTGCACCTACACAAAATTTTCTTTTAATAGAGTGCTTCATTTATTATGTGTTTGTTAAACTCTGAACTGACAGTGAACTCTGACTGATATATATATATATATATATATATATATATATATATATATATATATATATATATATATATATATATATATATATATATATATATATATATATATATATATATATATATATATATATGTATATTATATATATATATATATATATATATATATATATTTATTTATATATATATATATATATATATATATATATATATATATATATATTATATATATATATATATTTATATATGGTAACAATAAATAACATATACAGTACAACAATATCTTTAGACTTCTAATAACTTGTTCAATCAATATCCTTAAATTAGCAATTTCATTCTGATTTTTTTTTTAGTTTTTTATTTTTCATTGTCACTTATCAAAATTATTTGAGCTGCACCTTTCCAACCTGAGGGAACTGTGTGGTAGATGTAACATTCAGAATATTTAGTGTTAATATTAAACCTTTAATCATACATTATACAAGAGTATTTTAGAATACAATCTAAACATTTGTTGCTATTTGTAATTTCTTTATCCAAAGTTTAGATAATATATAAAGAAAATATTGATGAATTCTGAGCTAGGGGTACTTAAGCTTTTATGTTGTTGTAATGTTTGTATTCACTTCTAGTTTGTTTCTGTAAGTCAAAACTTTTAGTTGTTTTCATAATAAATTCTGTTATATCTGAAATTTAGTGTACCTCTATATAGTCTAAATTCTTAACATAACATCTTTACTTGGAACAAAAACCATGTGCTTTAAAAGTGAGCTAGAAGCTTTCAACCATGACGAAAATATTGCATTTGCTAATCCTAAAGATATATTAAATCTGTCAGCAAGATCAGTTGTCAGTAATCCGAGTATTAGTGACATTATGACATAATTCATCTTTGCTGCATAAAATTTATTTTGGTCCATGTAGTTAAGGGTTTTTTTAAGTTTCAAAAAAAAGCAGTAGATATTTTTTTAATATCACTTTATCTCCTTTTGATTGATGGTGATACTGCACGAACTCTTGAAACACATAGATAGTTATTAGGCCAGTATAAAAGTCGCAAGATCTATCATTTTTTAAATAAATGTTTGTATGCAAGTAAATTGAAATAACACAATTTGTTTGAATTATGTTTATATACATATTTATTTCATAGTAATAACTGATGTGGTTGAAGTTAATTTTTCAGATAAATCTCTATTTATTTTAATTTCGTGCTGAAGTTCTTTTTTTAGGTTATCAATTTCCTTTTTTAATTCTTGATGCTCTTTTATAAAACAACGCTTAACATTAAATTCAACATAATTTGATGTATCATTGTTTGAAAATTTTGTATTATTTACATTAAATAATATAAGTCTTTGAGCATTCTAGCCTAAGTTAAACAAAAAGTATTAGTTTTTAAATGATAGTGCTCTGTCAGGAAAATTGTCTGAACATACTCTCATTTTATATTTTATGGTAAATAATTTATTATGACGCAATAATGTAGGAGTTGAACGATTAATTAGTTTTCTCTATATTTCTCTGAGCTGTAGTTGTTTTTATATTGTTATATATCCATGTATGTGTTGATAATGGAACAAATGCTTACTCAAATGGCATTTTGCAGTTTTACAAATTAGAGCTTTTAACATTTTGAATCATACATAAATCATCTTTCCACATTTCTTGATTGTACTCATTATTTTTACAATCATTGAGAGCGCATATTTTCGATCTCTTGAAACTTCTATATGGTATAGGTTTAGTATTTACACTTTTTTCAATTATAAACCTCTATAACTTAAACCGTTGAAATAATGTTTGTTTACGTTTTTACTTCCATTTCTGCGTGCGCATAAATTTTTTATCGGAGCTGTGAAAAGGTGTGTTGATACTGTTTGGAATATAATTAAAGATTATTTTATTCCAATAGACAGAGATGAGTATCAGATGTGTTTTAAGGTTGGTTGTGATGGAGCAGGGCAACAAGTATCAATAAAATCAAAAGAAATGATTGAAAGCAAGTAAATATGTTTCAACATGGTCTTCTTCCTCTGAAACTTATATGCCATCAAGATAGTAAAAATATGACCCTGTTGTCAAATTATTCACCAAGTTCATCAACATCATTACTTCCTGTGTTTTTGATAAGAGAAACAAAAATTAATCAAGATTTGCTACATCTTATTATCCTAATTACTGATAACGCACGAGAAGTTAAATGCTAAAGGAATGTGTTGTCAATTTGGAAAAAATTAAAAACCAAAATTTTTATTTAAAATACAAATTATTTATGGATTTAAAGTTTAAACAACTCATCAGCAGACTAGGAGGTACAGATTCTATACTTTGCAAAACAAAAACTACTGAATGGACAGATATTAGGAGGGTTAATGAAGGATTTCTGGTTGATTGATCATCAAAAGAAACTTGGATGCTGTACGAAAAGCTAGTTGATAAGGATGATATCATTCCAACTAAAATTGGAGATATTGTCACACAAAAAGGACTGACAAAAAAACCACAAACAAAATTTGATCAAAA